AACGGATTCCACGCGAAAAACTGCAGCCAAAATCCCTTAGGTACAAAGGCGAATCCTAGGACTCAAGAAGGCTTAGCAGCTAAAACGACCATTCAGGCTGAAAGTTGGGGTAGAAAAGACCGAAGAAAGAACTTGAAAGGTTAAATTTCCCCCCTAATGACAAACTGCAATGTCATGGTCAGAACCAGGGACGACTCGTCTCTCTGGGTCTGTTGCCAAAACTCAAAATAATTTCCATACAGTTCCAAAACACAATAGAACTCTTTAAAATCTCAACCAGTTGTCAATTTCCTCAGCTAAATTATAATTTACACAGAAAATTTCAATTCATGAACAAAACGAAGAAAACTTGATGTTGCTACAGACAGCAACACAGTAACAATTCTGTGGACTACGCCAATGACTTTGATTTATCGGTGAAACCTTGACCCATTTACTCCAATCACCTGTGCGACATCCCAAGACCCCTAAATAATAAAAACCGAAGTGTTCGGAGCACACAGCTGTTCAAGATCAAGTTCAAGTGTCAAAAATAATAAATCATAACCCAATAATTAACGGATGGTAAACAAAGCACTGGGCCCCAATTTTTAATAAAGGTAAGTATTGAAATTGAATTCTATTTCATCCTAAGTCATCCTTTTACATTGTAGACGCAGTCCCACAAGGAATATTTCCCTGACAGAACAAGAATACAGGAAAACAGAAGCCCCCTGCCAACCTGTCGGAAAATGAATTGTTTATGTCCCTGACATGATTAAAATAAAAGGATATTAATTGACGTTTTCAATTAAAAGAGATGGACAATAAAGTATGAAAACAATCATTTTCCCGCCAACATTTGCTTGCTTGTCAATGTCAGTGTGTATTGGGTGTTTTGAAAGAAAATGTGGGAAAAGTCACTTCTTCATTTGCAGAACTTCGCTATGGAGAAAGCGGTGGATTATTTTGGAAGCAAACAGCTCCCGCAAACTAAACTTGGACGTGGATTACTTTGTATACTTGATAGGCCGTGGATTTCCTTTTTTTTGCGAGTATTCTTTCTGATTTTATGTATCCAAAATTTGACAAATGTAGGATTTGATGGAAACTTATGGAAAGACACGTCCGCCGGTAAATAGGAACTATTTTTACAAAAAGGCACACTACACAATCACCATTGTTAGGAAAAAACTTTGGAAAAACCGAGGAAATAATAGTTTCCAGTTTTCACATGTACAAAAGTCTTGTCAACAAACCACTGTCAGCGGCTGTCAACCGTTGTTTTCATACTCTTTTGGCGTCTGACAGTTTGACGCCAGAGAGAGAGGCTCTTAAATTGAAAAGGTCAATTAACAACAATCTTAGAGCTTTTGAATACAATATTAAATGAGAATTTATATAAAACTAACAAATTGATACAGTGAATTTTGAACTGTAACAACATGACGAACATGGTCAGATAGCATTAGGTTAGGACAACTAGAGTCAGCATTGCTATATTCCGGTGGTATAATAGAGGCAACTGAAACTGTTTCATGATGGTTCAAATTTGGTATGGTATTATTTTAATTAATTAAATACTATAATCAAAAATAACAGTCAGACTTTAATTTGTTGGAACTTAACCAGTCAGCAATCAATTCAATTTTCAATATTGTATACATACAGGGTCCGCAGCTAAGCGCGCGTCGGTCTATAAGTCCTGAACTAATAAGGTCAGGAATTTCGTTCATATGTCAACCTATACTAGTCGGGAGACTCTATTTTAGGAAAATATTTTTGAGTATACAGCGTGGCTCAATTAGGCGTGACGATATGAAAGTCGTTATTTTTCAACGAGAATTATTGATTTGATTGATTGACTTTTTTGCAACTTTAACAAGCTATAAAACCTAAACGGTTAATTTTAGAGGAAAATCGATCTTACATTCTCATCTTTGATTTTCAGAAACTATCATTTCACACCAACTTTGAATTTAATCCATGATTGAAAATTGCAATTTAATTTAATCTCCGGCTAAATTCAAAGTTGATGTCGAATGACAATTTATGAAAATCTAAGATAAAAATGTAGGCAAGATCGGTTTTCCTTTCAAATGAACCGTTAAAGTTTTACAGCCTGGCAAAGCTGCAGAAAAAGTCAATTTTCAACTGTCAATATTTCCAAAACAGTTGAACTTAGGTAAAGGGTATATCACAGAAAACCTACTCAAAATTTCACGTAAAATCCAAATATGTAATCATATACCATGGTGTCTGATTTAAAATTAATGACTTTCATATCGTCACGCCTAATTGAGCCTTCCTGTATACTCAAAAATATTTTCCTGAAATAGAAGGCCTTTTCGGAAACGCTGATCCGATTGACCGGATCACCAGCTAATATCCTTTGTCCTTTTTTAATCATATTCATTGAAGGAAGATAAAATACAAACAGCTGATGATCGGGTTAATCAGATCAGTGTTTCCGAAAAGGCCTAATGTCTCACGACCAGTATAGGTTGACATGAACGAAATTCCTAACCTTACTAGTTTAGCACTTATTAGACTATCCAACATGCTGTCAATCTTAAATTAAAATGTCCGCCAAGAGGCACACAAACCCTTTGTTTGCTTGTCAAAGTCAAGTGTTGTGGATAGGCGAATGCTGTCAAATTTAAATTAAAATGTCCGCCAAGAGGCACACAAACCCCTTGTTTGCTTGTCAAAGTCACGTGTTTTGGATAAGCTAATAGACAGACGCGCGCTCAGCTGCGGACCCTGTGTATATACAATATTGAAAATTGAATTGATTGCTGACTGGTTCGATTATAGTATTTAATTAAATAATAACAAACCAAATTTGAACCATCATGAAACAGTTTCAGTTACCTCTATTATACGATCGGAATATAGCCATGCTGACTCTTGTTGTCCCATCATAATGCTATCTGACCATGTTCGTCATGTTTTTCATTAAATAAACAATGGATTGACAGATTTTCAGCTTTCATGAAACTCTTTCATCGCGAATAATTTTTGACACATTCAAAGCTGCGTGGGCGTGACTTGTCCCGCTACCTCACTTGCTGACTGGAGTATAGTCATATACATCACAAATAGAAGCTTATATTAAATTTTCAGCTTTCTTGAAACTCTTGCACTTTTTTGGCGCTGGCTCTCGGACTATACGTAAAGTATTAGTTTGCTCTTTGTCGAATTGCACACACATCACAGGGTGATCTATTATAAATGTCACCCCCTTCTAACTTTTTCATTTGACATTTTTGACAAAGGTGTCAAATACAAAAGTTTTAATAAATTATCGCATGTTTTTAACTAAGTTGATTTTAGGCATACAGGGTGCGTCAAAAAAAGTACAGCAGTGTGAAGTTATATTTTTTTAAATGGAACACCCTGTATTTTATGCACTTATTTGTTAGTCCCTTTTAACCTGATTTCAACGATATATGGTTTGATATGTCTATCTTCAATAGCTATAGGGAAAAACTTGAAAACCCCTTTCAAGGTTTCACATTGAAAAAAGAAAAATTATACTATTTAGGCTTTGGAGAATTTTTTTTATAAACAGTTTATTGTTCAAATTTTATTTATTAATATACAAGGTGAAATATTATAATAAATCCAGATGTCTAAATTATTATTAGTATTTTTTAAAAAAATACATGAGATCCCTATTACTATTGGAGATAAACCGAGAGATAAACATATCAAACCATATATCGTTGAAATCAGGTTAAACGGGACTAACAAATAAGCGCACAATATACAGGGTGTTCCATTTAAAAAATATAACTTTACACTGCTGTACCTTTTTGACGCACCCTGTATGCCTTAGGCCGAAGTCTCATGCATCCGTTTTCCGACAAAAAATATCCGAAAAATTTTCTATTTTGACATATTTTCATACGATTATGTCAGAATAGAAGGTTTTTCGGACATCTTTCGTCGGAAAACGGATGCATGAGACTCCGGCTTTAAGGCGACGTTAATGGCCGCAATGTTTAAATTTAGTTTTTGGAAATGACTCTACACATACGGTTCAATATTTTATTATTTGTCCAAAAAAAAAATTGTTTGTCGGTGAAACACTTAGTGACAGAGAAAGACAAATATACAATTATGATGCTCCCAATGTAGCTTTTTGCCGTGGCGCCATCTACTTGAAATTGCTTGAACTGTTTTCACCTTCAAAATTCGTTTTAAGGTCATCTCAAAAAATCCGCAATAATTTCCAAAATCCTTTGGCATAAACATTATTTGATATATTATCTACAATTAGCTTTTTTTAGTTTTTCGTGGTTATCAATAAAATACGCTTTTCACGGATCCAAGCTTAATAAACATGCAAATATGCAACCACCAACGCATTTAATTGTTTTGGTGGTTGCGAACATGATTTTTGAATTTAAAAAAAAAGGCTGAATTTCGAAAAACCAAAATAAGGAATTGTAGATAATCGATCAAATAATGTTTATGCCAAATTTGAGCCAATTCTGATGTGCCGTTTCTTTAAAGACCTTAAAACAAGTTTCGAAAAATCAACCAATCACAGTTTAAACATGGCGGCCATTAACGCGGCCTTAAACTGACTTAGTTAAAAACTTTTGACAATTTCTTAAAACTTTTGTATTTGACACTTCTGTCAAAAACGTCAAATTAAAAAGGTAACAGAGGGTGGCATTTAGGTATAATAGATCACCCTGTACTTGCCGGGAATTTTTTCCTTCTTCTTGGCATTCTATATCCTAATTTTCCCGTGGAAAGTGGGAGACTGAGAACTATAACTATTTTATTATCGATAGGCCGATCTGATGAATATCGTATTTGTTCAAAAATAAGATTTTGCATATTACATTTTATTATTTGTTAAGTGAAATTATTACTAATTCTTTTTTGTCTTGAATGTTTTAAAATCTGATTATGCCAAAAGCAAAACATGACATCAAAATAATTAAATTTAAACCAAGAAAATTCGGTTTATACATTAAAAAAAAAGGGAAACGTTTGATGCTTACCTTTGAATTTCTTCACCGGTCAGTCTTTCAGCTTTAGGAGTATTAACATTATAAGAATTATCGTTTATAATTAGTTTAAAATCATCATCTAATAAGGTTTCTATCGTATTGGAAGACGCTATCCGTGTACCATCTTTCGTTTTGCACACTACCCTGTCGATGCCTCGGTCTTCTTTCTTTAGCATTTCTAAAAAATCACCCACCGTATTTGAGATCGGTTTCAACGTGAAGCTGCATTTTTCTTTTCTGCTCGGCAACGGGACTGTTATTTTTGGCAGACCTTTGTGGTATTCTACTGTGACATCGGCTGAAACAAAAAACTCAATTTTAGTGGAAATTGTTAAAATATCAAGTACGCAAGTAAAATGTAATTTTTAAAAGGGGTGGCAAATATGTCGCCCATATAAGCACGAAACCGTGTCTAATAATTCAAATTTGGTACGCTTTAATAGAAATACCGTGCCGTACTCTTACCACAATTATTATTATACTACTATCGCATGCCTCTTGGTTCTACATGGAATGAAGAGATTTTGCTATTTAGTTAATACCGCTAATTATGTTTAGAAAGGTTTTAGATACGCTACTTATAGAGGAGAGCGTTCACTGTTAATTTTCAGATCCATAATTAGGTAATTGTTTATTTTCTTTTTTAATAAAAACTTTCCAAATTATATTCTGAGTTAAATTTATAAAGATAGGTGGAGAGTGAGACAAGTTTTGTTTTGGGAGATATCCGAAGACCATTGTGAGAAAAACATGGCTCCAAGCCCAAGAAGGTTGGACGCTATATATATGGAGGAAAAAATATTCATATCAATGTAACAAACTCAGATTGAACATGCAAGCTCGAATTTAGCATAATGCGTCTCACTGTTTTCGATGCATGTTTTTTTCCTGATAATAATAATAAATTTTAAAGAATTTGGAGAATATCTTATCCACCTTTATGTTTATGGAGCCCTAGTTGGGAGAAGAAGATGACTTCCAGATCGTTGATTAAACAGACTGGAAATAACTATACTGTCAAGAGGAAATACAATTTTTTTTTCCTGCGGGTGACTTTTACGTCCGGTCTACGATCGTTGGCTAAATCATAATCAATCAGGTATCAAAATCCTGCAGCCCCATCACATCAGGCCCATCGTGAATAAAAGAGAACTCGATCAAACAACGTTGGGACGGGCGCATAAGCAGTAGCACTAACAAGTATAGTTCAAGGCATTCTACTATTTGCAACAAGAACATTTTGATAATACTAAATCAATATTACTGAGGAAAACCATTTTAAATATTATTTCTTAAAATCTTAACTTTTTAAAAAAACGTTTACTGAATGAAAGTAAATGTTGCAACCATGTATGCGCCCTCAAGTTTAGGATTGAACGAGCGCGCCACAGAAAAACGAAGGTACCAAAACCGAAGAGGATACAAGAGAATACGCAATTAGACTACAGAACGAGCTGGACTGGTCCCTTAGAAAACGTGTCGCGTGTCTGTAATTATTCATTATTCAATTTTCATTTCTATATTGCATTAAAATTGATTGTCCAATCTAATTTGTTGTTAGTGTGTGTGTAAGGAGCGTTCACAGGTTAGTGGATTAAATGTTCTTTTGTTTTTGAGAGTTCAATTTATGCAAGTTCCTATTATTTTGTTCATTTTTATCAGGGTCGGATTAAGGTCTTTTGGGGCCCGGGGCTATTTTCACAAAAGGGGCCCCTAGGTCCCTGAAATAAGTTCAAACGTCACCCAAAACTTTACCTTGCAGGGTAAAAAAATGTGAATTTTCTATTTACTTATAGAACAAACAATACAATTTAGGAGAGGTGGTAATCAAAAGGACCCCTCTTATGAGATTTGGGGATTCGGTCAATTTTCCTGAAAATTTGATATGATGCTGAATTAATGTCCAAGAAATGCACACATTTTAGCTGGGTTCGGCTATTCAGCGCGGAGTTGGAGTGGAGTGAACAGAGCTAATGGAGTCACCCCTAATATGGTAAAAAGCAATACCCGAACCTTAACCCGAACGGCTGGAGTGCGAATGGAGTCACTCGGAGTGCACGGAGTGAGCAAGCCGAACCCACCTAAAATATGCATTTACATCTACCTGTCACCTGAACGTGGGGATACCGGTCAATCCTGGAACACTTGGCCAAACATAAAACTGGTACAGGCAATATATATTTTGAAAATTGCCTAGTGTGAGTCAGGCTTAACAACAAAAAGTCTGTTCTGAAAAACTCAGGTCCGACAGTTTTTGTCAACGTCAAACCTGTTTTTATGTTATGATTGGTTCAAATATGACACTGACTTGACTCTTTTTGTCATTGTTAAGGTGATAAAAAAGGCCGATTTACACAATACAACACAATAGGAAAATGCGTACCAGTTTTATGTTTGGCCAAGTGTATATTATTAGGTGACAGGTAAAGTGCGTTTTTTTTTTTTTAAAGATAAAAGTCAAACTGACATTAGGTTGGCAATACAATGTAAAATTGTCAATGCTATCAAATTTTTCATGTAGAAAAGGCTTGTGTTGCCAACATAGTTACTAAATTTTTGACTTGGGGAATTATCTTTAAAAAAAAAACAGATTTTAGATGTAAATGCATATAAAATGTGTGCATTTCTTGGACATTAAACTACCTGTATCTCAAAAACTAGTCATAGGATCAAGTTAAGACTGAACACTTTTAATCAGAATGTTGAGAATATCAAATTTTCAGAAAAATTGACCAAATTGAATTGTGTGCCCTGACTGTTTTTTTTTTTTTTTTGTTGGAATGCCCTATTCGTTTTTGATTGACAATAGTGAAAGTGACGATAAACTATTATCCCCCATTGCAGAACGATATTTGTTTTTAATATAAGCTAGAGTACTAAAAGACCTTTCACCCTCGCAATTTGTGATAGGTCTGGATAGATATATTCTCAAAACATGTTAACGTTTGGAAAAACCTGGAAAAGGTCTTTTTCTTCCATCTGCCTTAAAAAAAATGAACGTTCAAGCCATCATCGTTCAAGTCTCGAATATAAGGACAAACCTGCATCAATTCATTCTTGAAGAACTTGCCTTAAGTTCCTGCTCCGAAATATTCGGTATATTTGTTAGGAACCCAAAGATATTACTAACATATTCATACGCTTCAGAACGTTTACTCAATTCTTAAGAAAGTTTGTCCAGACTGACATTGAATTTTTCCACTCTATTTGTTCGGACCTCGTAACAAAAGTTCATCCTTACCATCTGGATATTTTCGCATTAAAACTCGCTTCTCCTCGTCACTATATTTTGAAGAAACGTATACAGTAAGTTTTTTTGCTTTTTGCTCAATATTATTAAATTCTGTCTCTGTGTGCAGTGAGTTTACAAATTCTACAAGGGGGCCTACCCGTCATGTTTAAACAAAACATGGCGGGTGGGCCGTATCAAGGTTCCTATTGTCGCCACTGTCTTTTATAAAGTCACTGTAGCTTTTATGCGGATAGTGAGCCATCTATCAATTATTATACCAGCCAGCTACTCAATAATAATATAGGGTAGTGTTGTATTCGATATAATTGATAGATAATAGATGCCGAAAGCGAAATTGTAAAATTATTCGCGAAAGTCCCCGAAGTAGGCGACATCTATGATCAACTTTGGTACTCAAAACTCAGTGAACAACAAAGCAAGATCGCATTTGGCCCCTGGCATTATTTCTGGAAGTTTCCAGTTTTCCACAGAATATTATTCCTTTTATGTATTGTTTCTGTTATATAAATCACAAAAACGCTATAAAACACAATTTAACAAAAACTAACCTCAAAAAACTGGCTTCACTGATGGCCGTTTGCACCGACAATTTTAAAGGAGGCTTAACGATACGAAGAACTTAAAATGACATTTCTACATGTAAAAATGTCACTTTAAGGAATACTTATCGTTAAGCTCTCCTTAAAATTGTCGGTGCAAACGGCCATGAGTTCGGCAGACATATTGCCATTTTTCGCGTAATTTAGCGCCATCTATTGGTACAGGAATTTCGCCAATATGCATCATGATTTCTTCCCCGTGTGAGGTGGACTTAATCCGGCCCTGATTTTTATGTAGGTATTTTTTGTTTGTTTATAACATTTTTTATAACATGTGCATTGTTCATGTATTTAACAAAAATCGTTTCATACTGTAAACAACACAGATAAAGAAGTAAATTAAAACCTAAAAAAATTATGTACTGTCTTTTTGTGCTGAGATTTTGATTTTGTGGATTCAGAGCGTGTATTAGGGCCTTGTTGAATTTACTAACATTTTCCTACCCTGACGAGAGAATATTCTAACAAATTGAATTGAAATAATCAATCTAGAGATATTGGCTCAAAAACAACTATAGCTATGAGTTACCGTAACCAGGGACCTCAGTACCTGCCACAGATGAGCTAACTAACCAAAAACTCTTCAGTTTTGATTATAGGTAGTGTTGATTGAATGTTGTGTGTGGATTCAAAATTTTAGCACAAAGACAAAGGATGGTACCTAATTTAAACTTTTATTGACTTAAATTATTGAATTAATTACTCGCACTTATTATTAAAATAACAAAGTATGTTTCGATTTTTGAGGAATGTTAGACCGAGGGTTTCTCTGCCGTGCTCTTTTTTCCCTCGTTAGTTCCAGGATGAGAACGGTACGATTTACTTTAATAATAAATTAGACGTTTCACAAATTTTTCGTTTCTTCTACATATCACAACCTCCCTTAAATTTCCCAAATATTTGCTATGTCGGGCGCATGTACAGGGTGGTCCAAATTGGACACTTTCTTATGGAAACACCCTCTATTTTTAGAGATAGAAGAAAATGGACCCCCACTCTGAGGCTGAAATTTCATGAAATCTTGATTGGTGCAAACCGCAGTTTGATATCTTCAACCGTTTAGCCGCTAGAGGGCGATCCTCGATTTTGAGCAATACTGTAAAGCCTCCATAACTTTTTTGTTTATGAAAATAATTCATTTCCGTAAAGACCTTTTGGAAGCACTTTTTCAAGGAGAATTCAGTGACATTCTCAGTTTTTTTCTGTCTGGTTTCGATTTCGAGATATTGACCAAAATCCGATTTTTTTCAATAGGACATGCTATATATTAATAGTTCATTAGAAAGCTATGCTTTCGCTTATTTCAATGATATAAGGTTCGATAGGTTTATCTCTAACAGTTTTCGAGAAAAAAAATTATTTCGGTTTTTGTCATAAGAAACAATGTGTTGGAAAAGGACTTTATCTCTGTAAGGAAACTGAGAAAGTTCTCTTTCTAACACATTG